TTTTGTGATAAAAACACTGATTAAACCAGCCTGGGAGGAAAGGGTTTATTTGGCTTATAGCTCATGGTGCATCATCAAAGGAGGGCAAGGCAGGAACTCAGGGCAGAAACCTGGAGGTAGGAGCTGAAGCACAGACCATGGAGGACTGCTGCTTACTGGCCTGCTTCTCTGGCCTGTGCTCAGCCTGCTGTAGCCCCAGCTGGCCTAGAACTCACTATGTAGAACAGGCCGGTGTTCTTACAGAGATCCAACTGCCTCTGCAGAGATCAAAGGAGTACACCACACCCCACATCAGCCTGCTTTCTTATTCAACTTAGGACCACCTGCCCAGCTGTGACATCACTCACAGTGGGCTGGTCCCTCCCACACCACTCAATAATAATAATAATAACAATAATAATAATAATAATGAAAGCCCCACAGACATGCCTTTCACAAAGTCAATCCAATAGAAGCAATTCCCCAAATGAGGTTCCCTCTTCCCAGATGTGTCAAGCTGACAAGTGAGGTTATTCAGGGAAAAATAGGTGTAGCAGTAAATATTTTTCAAAGTTGGTATTTTATTAAAGTTTTTTTTTTTTTCTAATTTAGTAAGGTTTGAGATTTCACTCTTTTTTTTTTCTTTTTTTTTCCTTTTTTGAGACAGGGTCTCCCTGCAGCCCCAGCCAACCTGAACTCACTATGTAGACCAGGCTAGCCTCAAACTCACAGAGATCCACCTGCCTCTGCCTCTGCCTCTGGAGCACTGGGATTAAAGGCCTGTGCCACAACACCCTGCAAGAGTTTACTTAAAAAAAATTTTTTTTGAGACAGGGTCTAATTCTGTAGTCTAGGCTGGCCTGAAACTCACTATGTACCCAGTCTGGTCTCCTTGGGCATCGATGGTCCCAGGTGAGGGGATTATAGGTATGAGCTATCATGCCTGACTTTAATGTTTAGCAAAGATTTTGTCTTTTGTTTCATATACTTGAAAGCTATGAAAACAATGGTTACTATGAAAATTGAGGGTTTTTTTTTTTCTTTTTTAACAGTAACCTCTAAACTTTACTTAAAAGTACACTGTGCTCAGCAAGACTGAGCTCCCTCCTGCTCATCCTCACACAGACTGCACAACTTGTGTCTTACCTCAGGCTCTCTGCCTCTGTCCATTTAGGTCAACCACAACACAAGGTCCTGATGCTGGCTGAATTCAAATCCAGCTTTGCCTCTAGGCAGCAGAGCAGTGCTAGAGAAAACCTCCACACCCAGGGACTGCAAAGGCATGATCACAAATCTAAACTGGTCCACTGGCATTCCCTTAAAGCCTTTCCTTTTATAGCCATCATACTTTCACACTTCCTCACTCTCACTCAACAAAGACCAAGTGCATGCCAGATACTAGGAAATCTAGATCCTGGGATACAGTATTCAGGTGAACAAAGTAGACAGAAATCCCCGCCTTCATCAAGCATATTTTTAGTGTAGGCAGTTAACAAAATAAGGTAAAATATTCAATGATGGTCACAGAAAGAAGAAATGTAAGTTGGAGGAGGATGGAGTAAACTAAAGAGGTGGTAATTTTTAAAATTAATTATCTTACGTGCACGTATCTAAGTGCATCTGTGTCACACAATGCCCTCGGAGTCCAAAAGGGGACATCGGATACCCTGGAACTGGAGTTACAGACAGTTGTGAGCTGCTATGTGGGTGCTGGGAACTGAACCTGGGCCCTCTGCAGGAGCAGTCAGTGCTCTTAACTGCTGAGCCATCTCTCGAGGCCCCAAGGCTATTATAAAAAAATTTATCTTTATTTTTTGTGTCTATGAGTATTTTGCCTGAATAGTATGTTAAATACACCCATGTTACACAATGCCCGTGGAGGTGTAAGAGGATGTCAGATCCCCTGGAACTGGAGTTACCAACAGTTGTTAACTGCCATGTGGGTGCTGGGACCCAAACCCAGGTTCTCTGCAATAGCCAGTGAGTGCTCTTAACCACTAAGCAAGCTGTCCAGCCACATAAGGCTATTTTTAAATAATGAATTAAGTGTGACTTTGTTTTTGAGATAACATCGTCATTAGCCTAGGTTGACCTCAAACTTGTTACTAGCAGAAGCTAGTCTTGAACTAACAATCTTGTTGGGATTATAGGTGAGCACCACATTTGCCTGGTTAGTGCTTGATAATTTAGAAGTCTGAATACATTTCGATCAGGTCACTACCTCATCATATCTGCAAATTACTTCTAAACACCTGATACCAAAAACAACCATTGCCAAGTGTCAGGCAACAGTGACAATTGTTTCATTTGCAATTTCTCATTTGGCAGATGTTTCTACTGTCCTAACTTTACAGTTGAAAATGAATTTAGAGAGGTTTATTTGCTCAAAGTCATCAATCTCTCTAGTGCTCCAGCTAAGACTCAAAATCAAATCTATTTTCAGGACCAGTATCCATGACCATAGTGTCACAAACTGCACCTCCTTATTTGGATATAAATAACTAACATAAATTACTAACACAGAATCACAGGGCTAAAAAAACATGCTGGGTATAGAGGCAGATCAAACACATGAAACTTCATCCACTTCTCTCTGAAACTCCAAAGGTTCTTGCATGTTTTAAGGCTAAAACCTAAAAGGCTAGAAAAGGAGATGACAGTAACAAAGTCAGAAGCTGGAAAGCAAACAGAGAAGTAGCATTACAGTAAAATCAAGACAACAGAATGAACCAGCAGTAGGAGAAGAGAAAGAAAAGAACCCCATAGCAGAGAATTCCCAGGTCTAAGAACTGCAGCCTCATGTCCTCTGTAAGTAGGGCATGAAGAGGGAGACACTAAAGGATTAAAGGTTTAAGAAATCAAGATGCTGTCTGCAACTCCACAGAGCTAAGCAGACTCTTCTCAACTCCCAAATTACAAGTCTATTTTCTGAGAAGGAGAAAACAGAGGGTGTCGGGAGTTGTAAGATGTTGGGCAGCTGGGGCTGGAATACTTAAACTGCAGACTCAGTGAGCCAATACACAGCAGAAACCGAGATGTCCTTGCCCTTCTGCTCTGGGTCTCTGCACAGCACTGTCTCTCTTCACTCCCAGCACTCCAGCAAGGGAGTGCCTCACTAGGGAGAGGAGGGTTCTCTGAGGAATGAGCCGCTCAATACAAAATTAGAAGATAAGGACACAAATGTCTTCCCAATTAAATGGTCCAACAGACCTCCCTTGGGGAAAGCGCAACACTAACAAGCTCTACCCATTCAGAGTCTCTAATAAGGTGAAGTGTTTAACGTCAAAGAAAAATGGACAAAACAGACTATGAAAGATAAAGAAAATTTCAAAAGGAGTAATATCCTACAAAAAGAGAAAATAGGGAAGTCATCAATAAAAAGATACTGGAGAGATGGCTCAGCGATTAAGAACCTGGTTGTTCTTGCAGAAGACCCTGGTTCGAATCCCAGCACCCACATGGCAGCTAACAACTGTCTGTAATTCCAGTTCCAGGGGATCCTACAGCCTCTTCTGACCTCGGCGGGTACTGCACAGCATGGGTGCACTTACCTACATGCAGGCAATACGTACACACACATAAAATAAAAATAATAAAATTTTTAAAAAAGATGCACAATTTATTAGAACTATAGGATGTAAGTTTCATGTTTAAACAGGTTTCCCAAGTGCCTACCACAGTGAGTTAAAATAAATACATCCTATCACCTTATACTGGATGGAAGACTACTAGAGACAAAGGATTCTTGTTCCTCAGAGGAAAAAAATAAGGTCCCACAGAAAGATCAGGTCTCAGAACGGCTTCGGATTTCTCAGCAGCACTGGAAGCTGCAGGAAATGGTGCGATGCCTCAAAATTCTGAAGGACGCGGCCTGCTTTACACGAGTTCCAGGCCAGCCGGGGCTATAGGGAGACCCTGTCTCAAAAAAAAAACAAAACTGAAGGATAAAGATTTACAACAGGGAACTCTATATTCAGCAAATAAACTAACATCTGAATGGAAAAGAGCCATTTTCAGACCAGAAAGGTCTTAAAAAATGTTTACTTCCTAGGCCACCATTCAGAGCTCCATCCAAATGTTTGAGACAAAATAAAAACAGCAAACAAGAGACCTAACATGGGACAAGAGAAGGAAGTCCTAGGTTACAGTCACACAGCAGTGTAGACTGAAGCAGGCTGGAAAGCTCCAGGCAGACTTATCCAGGAAGATGAGAGGGAATGCGAAAGGAGACTGAACAACGTGCACAATTTGGGGAGCTGGTGAAAAACTTAATTTAGTGGAAAGTTCACAGAAAAATAAACCTAGGGGTTAAAAAAGAAGCTATGTGGGGAAAGAAAACCATCAACAGTAGTATTCATGAGACTGGTCTAATCAGAATCTTACTGGGCTGTAAGATGGATGAGATGACAAGAAATGCCGAGTGGCAGACGTGAAGGAAGAAGCCAAGTCCAGGCAATACACTGGGAAGCAAGGGGCAATATCTAAAACAAACATATGAACAGTACCATCACACTGTCAATACACACTGGCAGGGCTGGAGAGCACTGGCTGCTCCTGTAGAGGACCCAGGTTTGGTTTCCAGCATCCACAGGACGGCCAACAACCACCTATAACTCCAGTTCCAGAGGATCCTATGCCCTCTTCTAGTATCCCAGGTCACTCACTAGGCACCATACATACATGCAGGCACTCACATATAACATAAAAATAACCTCAAAACAAAAACAAAAAAGCACTGGCTAAAGAGAGGTGAGCAAAGCTGCTTTGGGGGAAGAGTCCCCCCTTCTGCCAACAAGCTCAGGGAACTATCCAATTCAAACATTTCCCTTTGGTAGTGTTGCATGTTCTCAGCATCAGCAGTACAGCTGCTGTTCATAAAGACCACCTGGCCATGAAACACAATGCCCTTGGATCAGGGCTAACAAATTCAGTTCAAAAATCATCACAATATTAGAACAGACTCGTCAGTGATTGTTGGTTGGTTTTCAGCAAAAAGTTGGATAAAAAAATAAGAACCCAAGTTTTCTTCATCAGCTTTGTTTATTAAAAATATAGACTGATGGCTCTGTGCTTGAATGTCATTGTGGGTGTAGGCTGACTTCCATAAAACAGACTCTTCACAAATACACTACGGACTGAAGTAAAGATGTAAACAGAAATGACTCCTAGACAGTGCCATTTCAAACATAATCTCCTTATAGAGCTTTGAGGTTATTTACAATTCCATCAACACTGACAGGCTGAGCATCGCAGGCATAAGGGCACACTATGACCACAAGACATCTTTTTGTACTTCCCAAATAGTTTTATATTTCAGCTACGAAGGTCAGTACCAGTACCAGTCCAACTTGTTCTTAAGTAGAATTTTTATGTCCATTCAGTCTTATACCTTTCTGGGCCAATTCTTTGCAGATAGGAGGAGAAACTGTAACCAGGGTCTTCACATCATGATTTGCATGTGGCTCCCAACCTTCATATGCTGTCCAGCTTCTTTAAGATATATGGAGCTGAAAGAAACACAAACCCCAAATTAGTGTTTAGTCTACTAGTCCAGAGGCTGTATTATAGAACTACAAGACTAGGAGGAAAACAATTGTACAGGTTTAATGAATGACTCAAACCTTTATTTGTACTCACTGCCTTCCAAAGTAGTCTACTCCAGGGATTCTCAGTTATGATCACTATCACATACATTGTCACACCATGCTAATCTTTCCTCCAGGTAGTTCTCTCCATTACAGCCACAAAGAGAACTCCAACTCTCTTTCAAATGGCAGTTCTTTTACTTTGGCGACTTTAAAATTTTATTTTGCAGCACTGGGGGATGAACCAGGGACTTGAACATGCTAGACAAGCACTTTACCACTAAGGAACATCTCTAGCCCTTGGGATTTAACTTAAGCAGGACCAAATTCTAGAGAAAATAAAATTGCTTGCCTAGCATATGCATGACTCTAGGATCAATTAAATTCCCAATACTGGGAAAAAAAAGTGGCAGAAGACACAGAGCAGAGGGAAAACACTTAAGTAGGAAACAGGAGAGCAGGACACCTATTCTATTTTCTCTCTAATTAGCTATTTATTGCTTGTGTGCTTCAGATCACATCAGTTATTACACAGGTCTGTTAAAATGGCATACTCAGAGCTGTCTGGAATACTAAGTATTGTCATGTGGATCTAAGAAAGTGACATTATTTGGCTGCAGAGAGAGCTCAGCACTTTACAGTGTTTGCTGCTCAATCATGAGGATGGCTCACAACCACTTGTAACTCCAGTTCCAGGGGTTGAGATGCCCTCTTCTGGCCCCCAAAGGCACCTGCAGGCACCTGGCACACACACAGACAAGCACACAAACATATAAATAAAAAATGTTAAAAATGGTAAGTCGGGGCTGGAGAGATGGCTCAGCGGTTAAGAATGCTGGCCAGCCTGGTCTACATAGTGAGTTCCAGGCCAGCTGGGGCTACAGGGAAACCCTGTCTCAAAAAGACCAAATAAATAAGTAAAATATTTTTTTTTTTTACAAAAGTGGTAAGTCAATTCATATCAAATGCAAAGATCACTAAGCAAGTATTTTACTGACAGCTAGGTAGATACAAAAAGGCTAAGAGGGGGGCTGGAGAGATGGCTCAGTGGTTAAGAACACTGGTTGTTCTTGCAGAAGACCCGGGTTCGAGTCCCAGCACTCACATGGCAGCTAACAACTGTCCTAACTCCAGTTCCAGGGGATCCAACAGTCTCTTCTGACCTCCGCAGGCATTGCACGACACGGGTGCACTTACCTACATGCAGGCAATACATGCATATACATAAAATAAAAATAATATAAAATATTAAAAAAAGAAAAAAGAAAGGCTAAGAGGAAGGAAAAAGTAAGACAGTACTAAAGTTCTAAGAGGCTGGTGAATGAGCAGGATGATTTGGATGTTTCTGTTCCTGGGGAAGCAAAGCAATACAGTGCAAGACTACAGCATAAGAGGTATCTGAAAGAGTGAAAGAGTCTTCAGTCTTCTAAAACGTGTTTTTGGTATGCTCTTCAATTGTTTGAACCATCCCTGACTCTCCACATGCAATTACACAATAAGGAAAACTGTTTTGTTGAGAATGAGGCAGGATCAGTCACTCCTGCTACATCAGTAGAGCTGGAGTGCTATAAAGCTGCTTACAGCTCTTTAAAAAAGACCTTTCAGTCAGGCATGGTGGCTCTTGTCTTAATCCCAGCACTCAGGGGCAGAGGTAGGCAGATCTCTGGTCTACACAGCTAGTACCAGGCCAGCTGGGGCTACAGGGAGACACTGTCCTAAAAAAACAAGACAAAAACACTTTTTTATTATATTTATCTATTGTTTGTGCCCGCACATGGGTTGATGCTCATGTATGTGGTCAGCACAACTTGGGAAGTTGGTGCTTTTTTCACCATGTGGGTTGGGGAGAGAAAATTCCCATCACTGAGCTTGGTGTCAACAGCCTTAACCTATTGAGCCATCATACTTGCCCCTACATTTTAGTTATTATTTTTATTTTATGTAAGTGTATTGTCTGCTGTATGTAAGTGTACCTGAGTCGTGCAATGCCCCTGGAAGTCAGAGGGCGTCGGGATCCTCTGGAACCCGAGTTACAGACGGTTGTCAGCGGCCATGTGGACGCTGGGAATCGAACCCGGTCCTCTGCAAGAGCAGCCAGTGCTTTTGACCATTGAGCCATCTCTCCGGCCCCTGCTTTATCAGTAAGTGTCTTTAAGCCTGATGCTTTGCCCTTGGAACTCCAACTCTAAAGGGACATAGACTAAGTAATGAAGTTTTTGTCCGTGGTGAAATCAAATGCTCCGGATAGCCTAATTAATCTTAATAGACTCCCGTCTTTCCTTTTCATCTCTGAAAATGAAGAAATAGTTATTTACTTCACCCTCTGTACAAACAACGGAAAAGAAAGAAACAAATAGGTCAGGCTCACTGTCCGACACGCCAAAATGACCTTGGGTCAGTCATTTCCTCACTCCGGGATCGTTTCTAGGTTTGCAAAACGAGGGTGCTGCTCTGGGACATCAGGAAGCTCCTTAAACGCAAACGCCCTTTAGGCTGGGCTAGCAAGCGAGATCGACCTTGGGGCCTGGCCACCACGTGCACTCGGCACGCGTGGGAACCCGTAGGGCCTGGGCGCGCACATCCCCTCCCCCGCTGCAGGCCCAGCCAGGCACCACGAGGCACCATGACCTGCTGCCGGCTGCGGGCGCAGGCGCGGTGCGGGCGGGGGGCTCGCGGTTACAGCCCGCGAGGACACTCACTGACTCGCAGCAGGGCCACGTAGATGAGGAAATTCCGGATGGAGGAGATCACATCCTCGCGCATCTTCCGCTTCATCTCCTCGGGGTCCAGCTTCGGAGCGAGGCCCTCGATCCGAAACATCGCGGCTGTCTCACCAACTTGCACCAGCAGGACGCGGTTCAGCCCGCCACAGCTGCCTCACTGCACCCGGAACTGCGCCCGATCCCACTTCCTGTTCCGCCTCTTAACTTCCGTCCCACGACGGGAGCTTGCAAGGGACAATCATCCTGACAAAGCGCGTCTGAAGAAGACGGCCTGAAGGGGGCGCCTTCAGTCTTCGTAACTGAGCCTTGTGCGCCTTTGAGCGGCCGCTTTAATATACCGCATCTGGAGTCCGGCGTGCATCCCTGCAAAGTTGTTTTATCCTGCCCAGTAACGGGCTGTGCGCATAAAAACCACCGAAAATAATAATAATAGTAATAATAATAATAGCATCTATGGAATGCTCAATGCGGCTCTCTACGAATCGTGTATCATAATCTTCATTTCCTAGATTAGGAAATTAAAACACAGCAGTTTTGAAACAATTTAGCTGGGAATGTTGCTCAGTTGCTAGAGCGTTTAACATGTATGAAGCCCTGGGTTTAATTTCCAGAATCACATAAACCAGGCCTGGTGGTGCAGGGCGGTAATCCCAGCCTCCCATTCAGCAGCCTGAGGCAGAAGAATCACTGCAGGTTTGAGGTCAGCCTGGTCTACAGAACAATTTCCAGGACAGCTTGGGCTACAGAATGAGACCCTATTTCAACAAAACAATACAAACAAAAAAACTCTACCTAAACAGAGTTCATGGTTATCCTCAGCAAGTTCTGACCAGCCTGGGTTACATGAGACCCTGGCCCAAAACAAAAACAAAACAAAAACTTGCCAAAATGTGCTTTAAAATACCTCAAACAGGGCTGAAGATGGTAGCTCAGTGGGCCAAGTACTTGTCTAGCTTGCATGGTACAACTCCAAATATGACAGTGTACACACACACACACACACACACACACACACAGATGCAGGGCATCATGGTCCATACTGGTAATCTCAACAATCGGAAGATGGAGGTAAGAGGATCAAAAGTTCAAGGTCATCCTCAGCTACACAGTGAATTTTAGGGCTAGAGAGGAAGGAAAGAAGGAAGGGAGGGAGGGAGGAGGGAGGGCCTCAAGTGGGTGTGGGATGAGAAGAGAGAGGTGGCCAAGTTAGCAAAATACTGAAAACAGTATAAACTGGTGATGCCAGTGACTGGCATATCATTTTGTTGCAATGCAGAAAATCGAACCCAGGGTCTCACATGCTAGGCGAGTACTGTATCACTGAGCCACATCTCCAGCCTGGTATATCATTTCAGTTAATTATCCTAATCTGTGCATTTGGATTTCTACTATAAATTAAAATAAACAGGCAAACAGTGAAACTTGATCAAGATGAGAAAAACTAATAAATGGTAGGGCAGAATTTTATGCCTTGTTAGACTTGTGGAACTCCAGAGACTGAATTTTTAACATTTTTCACATTATTTCTATATCCTCATTTCTAGAGTTAATTGATCCTTACTTACTATAATATAGGTCTTGCAATACATCATGTGTAAGACAAGTTCAAATCTGATAAACATTTTACAGATGAGAAGAAATCAAGTACAGTGTTAAAGTTTTCAGACATGTATCAAGCAACGGGATTGTTCACATAATTCGATACCAGCAGGTCCCTTCTTAATACAGTGCATAGCAATGCTCAGTTTTGGATAAATTAGAACAACAATTTACTATGGGAGCAACTGATAATGTAAGGATCACTACCCACCTTCTTGACTGACAGAGTGTGAGACACTAGGGTGAGGAAAAAAGAAACCCACCTCATCTGCTTATTTATCAAGCTTTATCAGCCTTTTGCATCTATAATTCATACAATGGAATAGCAGAGGAAGTTCTGGAGTGGGAGTGGCTGACCCAAGGAATAGCTCCAACCAATCCTTTGTGCATTGCTCAAAAGCAGCAGGCGCTGGGGAAGGAGCCTGGAAAGACGGTACAGGCCACTAGATCTGACACCACCATTCCCTGTCCATGTAAGCAAGGACGAGTCTCTGTTTCATTAAGTCTTCACTTCTTTAGTAGAAAAGGGAAGGCATATGGTTAGAGGCTTGAGAGTCTCTTCTGATTCTGGCAGTCTATACATTTTGAATTCTAATGGTGTCATCTAGGACATAATGGTTTGGAGTGTATGACTATCAATACATCATCACCTATGTAGGACAGCAAAGTAGCCAGTGTGTGCATTTTCCAAGATAGGAAAGAAGGTAAGAAAAAGCACATCTCATCCAATTGAAAAGTGAGGCAGAGAAGATTGGGAAGGAAGGAGTTCTTGATTATATAATTCCAATTAACTTAGACTCCTAATACTGACCTAGTTTAGACAAATAGTTTATATATGGGAGCTGGAGAGATGGCTTAGCAATTAAGAACTCATATTATTCTTCCAGAGGACCTGAGGTCAGCTCCCTGCACCCACATTGGGTAGCTCACAACTGCCTGTAACTCTAGCTCCAGAGAATCTGATGCCCTCTTCTGGCCTCCTCAAGGCACTGCACTAACATGTAGGCAGGTACACACACACACACACACACACACACACACACACACAAGTAAATCTTAAAAACAGAAACGGTTCATATATAGAATTACCATTTTTCCTTTACTGAGATGTTTTTGAGTAGTTTGTTTGGATCCATAAGGAATCAGAGGGCTAATTTAACCCCAAATCATGGTAAACAAATGAACAGATTGAATCTTATCTAGTACTAAATTAAAGAGGCACCTGTTTATCCAGTAGTTGATATTGCAAATGGCTGACCTGCTAAAAGGCAACATCAGAAATGAAAATTCCTCAGAAAAGTCTGATGCTTGCTTGCCTTTAGTGACAGAGAAGGTATTAGAAGGTACTAGCCTTGCCTCACTGGTTCTGGCTCTAGTCTAGGAGGATGGATTGTTTCTGTCTCAGAAATGTTTATCCTGGTCTTCCTCCCTTCGCATGGCTCCTCTAATTGTTTTAGAGGAACCCCCCTTTAAATAAAGCAGACTCCCCCTTTTAGGAGTTTCAGTAGTGTTTATTTATTTGGCATATAGGTGACAGTATTGTCCATTACAATGGATTTAGATAAGGCAAACTGAGACTTCAGGAAGTCAGCATTGGATGTAGGCATTTCACATCTTAGACCTTGTTTCTTTTCTCATTAGGATGCTGAGAGGTTTGACTTTAATCTTTTGTTGTTGCCTTTTTTGTTGCTATTGTGTTGAGATAAGGTCTCCCTGTAGGCCCAGCTGGCCTGGAACTTGATATGTAGACCAGGCTGGCCTTGCCTGAACTCACAGAGATCTGCCTGCCTCTGCCTCCTGAGTGCGCTGGTTCTTTCCTTCCACTATGTGGGTCCTGGGGATTAACTCAGGTCATTAATCTTGATGGCAAGTGCCCAGCTGTTGAGTCTAATCTTTAAGCCACCTATAGCTCTAAAATGTGATGATTCAGTGCTCTCCTTTTCTTTCTACATAATAAACTAGATGTTGAGATTTGCTGTGATTTGCCTTGAAAGGCAAAAATAAAAAATATGCATATAATTTAATATTTGTGTTTCTTTGTTTCAACACAGAGGAGATAGCAGCTGATGTCATGGCTTTGTTTTCCATTTGGATCCCAGGAGGAATTGTGGAGCCATTTCCTTTGCCTCAACTTCTCAGACAGTGCTGCATGTCAGCACTCACAGTGTACAACTGAACCCTAAGAGAATTAAGTGCTTTAATTTTCATCACTGGGGAGGAATTTGTATTTGCATAGTCAGAGATTGACTGATGAGTCATGATTGAGGAATTAACCCAATGTAAAACCTCCTAAGGTTTTTGTGCCTGGTCATTTATAGGAAACGACAAACCCTGATTATTGAAGAGTTCCACTTCTGTGTTTAGCATGTGAGGAAGATATGGCCCAGAGAGAAGTTTGTGAGGAAAAGAGTGACGTGGGCAGGTCTTGGGCTTCTGGTTTGGCATTTTCCCCCATCATATCTTACTGGTTTTGATACTTTAATTGTGAAGACTTTCATTGACAGCTCTTCTCTTGAGAGACAAGGATGGAAAGAATGGGGTGCTGTTTCCTGTTTGGGGTAAGGGGTGGCTGCCATTTTTCAGAGGCTCTGCATTTCCACACTCAGCAGAGCAGCTAATCTGGACAGTCCAGTGTTATTATTTATCTCCATGCCTATCCTCCCTCATTCCTTTAGGAGCGGAACATGGCCTGGAATTCCCCTGACTTTGCCTGGGTGTGGTAGGGCATGCCTAGTATTCAGAAGGCAAACAGAGGAAGATTAGGAGTTCAAGGTCATCCTCAGCTACAAAATTTCAGGGCTAGCCTGGTTTATGTGAGACCCTGTGTTAAAGAAAAACAAAACCAAACCAAAAATAAATAAAAATAAATTCAACCTTGAAGTTCACTCTGGACCCAAAATGAACAAAACAAAATTCAGGACAAGGAAAACAGACTTGAATTGTCAATGAGGATTGCTCTGTGGGACTGGTGAGATGGTTCAGCAGGTAAAAGCACTTACCGTCAAGCTGGAAGAATTAATTTCTGTGTCCCACAAGGTGGAAGTAGAGGACCAACTTCCTCAGGTTGTCCTCTGACCTCCATACATGTGCTGTGGCATATGACACCCCCACCCCATAAATAAATACATGTAATTAAAAACTTTTTTAAAGCTTGCTCTGGCTTCGCTGAGCGGTACACACCTTTAATTCTAGCACTTGGGAGGCAGAAGCAGGAGGATCTTTAGGAGTTCAAGGCTAGCTTGGTTTACATATTGAGTTCTAGGCCAGCATGGGGCTATATAATGACTCCCTGTCTCAAAAAAATAGTTCAAACCCAACAGACAGGATATCTTACTTCCAGAAACTACTGTCCAGCAAGAGATATCTCCAAGAGGGGGAGCTTTTGGAACCTTAAAGAATGAGCAGAATTTGGAGAAACTTTACCTCACTGGCATTTGCTCAATAGAACACTCAGCTCTCTATACTAGTGTTAAGGCCTTCATTCTCTGGATGACTTATGAATGCACAGGCTCTTTCCAGGAAGTCCATAGACACCCCAAGTACAAGGGCATATCATTTCCCAAATACTCAAGCCAACTGAGGGAAGGTGT